TTCAGCAAAAGCTGATTTGGAGCCAAAAGCTTTCACATGATTACACTTCCCAGGTGACATTGATTTGGCCATTATGATTTTTCACTGCTCTGGGAGATTGTATTAAATAATTAGGATTACCCTGAGGGCCAAATGCCAGTTATTCATTCAAACCCCCCCCCCCAATATTCCTCAACTGGGCCGTGCTGGCTTATGTTTCCAAATGTAATTGTGGGAATGTTTCCCTGTTAGAAAGTTGTGTGTCTCAGAGGGTCAATATAGGGCAAAAACTGACGTATCCTCTGTACTTTTGTCTCTCAAGAATAATTCAAATCAGATGTTCCCATCTTTTCTAAAGGTCACCTTCTATTTATAAGAGAAATCCTGGTTTTACAGTCCATTAGCATTCTTGTTATTACTACAGAGTTCAAATTGTTATACAGTGAAAAGTACAGTAAATAATACAATGTCAGAAGGGAATCCTTTAAACATCTCTGCCAGCTCATTCATTCACCACTTTTTTTCTTTCCCTTCTTCTCCTTTCAGTAAAATTGATTCTTGACACCAGATCATTATTGTTGTTTTTCTTTTTCTTTATAAAGATTATAATGAAACTGCATCATTATTACTAAGAAACCTGTGGAGCTGAATGAACTTAATCCCCACAAAGTATGTATACAGTAGGGCTATAGCATTATGTTACTTTTCATTTCATTTTAAGAAATAATTCCAGCCTAACATTATAGGCACTTTCTGGATATTGTTAAATCATTTACACATTTTGGGGGATGTTCAATATATGTTTTTTTTTAAAAATAGTAAGTGTATACTTAAAGTTGGATACATGTTGTATCCAAACATGTGCATGAAGCAAACCTAAGTATTCAATTGGAAGGGGCTGAGATTATTCTTGGCTTCTCACTGCTTCTACATACAATGAAATTATGCAACAAAAGAACTTGGCATTTATTTGGGGCCCACTTATCACTTGTACTCCCTAGACTCTAAAGCTGGGGTCTTCAAACTTGGCCCTTTTATGACTTGTGGACTTCAACTCCCAGAATTCCTCAGCCAGCGTGCCTGGTTGAGGAATCCTGGGAGTTGAAGTCCACAAGTCATAAAAGGGCCAACTTTGAAGACCCCTGCTCTAAAGAGAATACATTTAATTCTGCATACTCTGGAAGAGCCAATTAAACATTTATTTTCTGAAGTGAAGTATAAGTTTCTTAATTTCAATTGCAGTGTAAGTGAAAATGTTTTCACTTGCATTAAGGTACATTCACACATTTAAATAACAATGCTGCCCCATAAACCTGCATAAAACAACACCTCTACATTTCACTCTTTAAACTCGTCCAGTATTAGACAAGCTATGTATGACTGGATCCCGAGTCTTAAATTTACATGTAGTGCTCTAGAAGTAAACCCAAAGGTATACAACTGAAATTACTGAATTCCTTTGTAGTGAATAAAGGACTCTTAAGTTTGTTCTGGGGTGGGGGGAAGTAGAATAGAATCCCGGTTCAATGTATATCGAAAAATGCATTCTGTAGCCAAATGTAAACAATCTATTTCCTTTTTTTTTTTTTTTTTTTTACAAAGGTAAAAAGGAATGTCTTGTTGCAAAGTTTGGTCATTTCTGGATCCTTGGTCCAGAGTTTGGCAGGTTGCATAACTCTGCAGATGAGCTTGCAAAAATTTCTCAGCTTGTCATCACTGGTCACAAAGCAAGTTCAGCAAGACAGCCTGCAATAGGCATCTTATGCAGCTACCTGCAAAGTCAATTTTCTCTGACAAATTCTAAAACTTCAGGCACATGTTAAAAACTCACAAAAATTACTGCTGGCCATTTGGGAATTTCTAAAAGACCCAAACTTTGACTTTTAGCCTCATACTGGATAGTGAAACCAGTCCCAGATGCTGGGCAAAATTATAACTCAACATCTGTGAAGGAAGGGGGGGGCGTCCAGCTTGATCTTTCTTATCCAAAAGGAGCCAGTGTGTAGGAATGGGCAAGAGCCCAAACTGGGACCACAGTGTGATGAGAACAAATTTTATTTGTCCCTCCTGTGTTCTTTTCCCATAAAATGCCCTTTGACAATGTTTTTGGCTACAATATTGCTTCAGATTCCTCATGAATGCATGCACATCACAATTACTCTTTTTAAGAACTGACAAGGCACAACAATATACCACTACTGTAATAAGGCACATGGCCCTTAGAAATCCCCTCAAATTCTACTGCACTTGAATTCTACCAACAAAGCATATAAGTTGCAGTTTAATTATTCTGCTTTTAAATGGGCATTTAAAGCATCTGCAGCAATAAAACATAAGCCACCCAATTCCACCACAGAGGCACAGGTACATATCCATAGCAGTCATCAATCCAGCTCTTATCCCCTTTGTTCCTTCTCTTGCTGAAATGAATTTAAATATATTTCTGTACTCTTGTAATTAATGACTTTCCACTTTTGCTGACAAACTGGACTAAGATTCAGCACAGTGAGGCAGAAGAGTCAATATTTGCAGAAACAAGATACTGCAATTTCTCACTGATAGAAATATAAATTGTACAGCAAGCTCATCCCATAGTCTATAATTAATGCATCTGAATTTTCCACCTGCTTTGCTCCTTTGCTTTTGGAAATTTGCTCCCATACTTCTGTTTGTGTGAGACTTTGCCCATTGGCATGTTTATTGCTGATTAACTTTCCCCCCATCTTCTGGGAAGAACTATAAAAAAATCATTAAATGCTTCCAAACACACTTTTAAAATTCAAGTAAGATGTTCTAAACAGCAAACCAATTCTTGATTTGAAAAGGATATTCTGATTTCTAAGGTTCCAATACTGTACTATTATATCCAACAGGCTAAGGAGCAGTGCATGCTTGCAGTTGTAAACAATGCTTTAAAGGAAATCAATCTAAACTCGTATTAAAAATATATTTTGGAAAAACACGATAGATCTCCGCAGTGTGACTTCTTCTCTTAGAAATAACCTTTCAGGAGCTACAATAGCAGATGGAATCACCAGGCTCTTGCTGGAAATCCTAAACATTTCTCTCTACAAAGCTCAGTCAGAAGTAGGAACAGTCCAATATTACAGACGTTGCTGGCTAGAGCGGTTTCAAGTCAGAAGGTAAATATCTTGCAAGGAACAGGACCACCCCTGTTCAAAGTAAAAGAAACATTTTCTTAGATTGCCGCTCCCTACACATAGACGCGCGCGCACAAGCACACACACACACACACACACACACACACACACACACACACACACACACACACACAATTTCTTTATCGCCATTCTATCGTGCCTGTACGGCACTTGTCCATCTCAAACTGACACTCCTCCCCTCCGGCGCCGCCTTTTAATCTTACTTCAAGATACGAATAACTTAGCTAAAATTCAGCCTCGGGAACCGGCGAGTTTAGAGTACGCTACCATGCAGCCCGCGCCTTCTCTAGTAAGCCAACGCGCACTTGCGACGCAAGGGCGAAGTGCCAACCAAATCCAGGCCGTCAGAGCGGAGCTTTCGGATCTCAGTCGTAGTTGCTCCGTCCCGGCAGGGCTCCGCTTTCTAGCTAGTACGGTATAAACCGGGATGCCGCTTTTTTCCCCCTCCTCCGTCGATATAGATTCCGTTTTACGACAGGGTTAAAAAGGACGTCCCAACCGAGAAAAATCACACCCCAGTCTCTATCGCTCGCCGGTTGCCGGGAAAACTTGGAAGCACCAGAAGCTGCGAAGAAGGGCGCCGAGCTGCGGCGCACAGATAGAAGTTTCCTTTACTCCGGGACGATGGGAAAGAAGGGATGGGGGAAGTAGCGAAGGGGGGGGGGGAGAGGGACGATTGAAGCGGCGGTCTGAAACTTGGGCGCTATCGCCTGGGTTGGGCTTGCGGAAGCCCAGCAACGAGAGAACGGAGGGCTGGGGGGAGACCGAGCGCGCACCTCTCCGGCCGACGCTGGGGGAGAGAGGGTTGCAAATACCTGCAGAGCGCAACGGGATCGTGCAGAGAGCAGGAGGCTCAGTGGGCGCCGCAGCGGATTAGCCTAAACAAAACACGAGCGCCCAGAAGCTTTGAAAGACGTCCCGGTGCAGCACTGGAGGTGGGGGGGGGGGAGGAGCGCGAGGCAGGGAAAAGGGCCGGGCTTGAGGAACGCGGGGCCTCCTCCCTCCCGCCGTCGTGTGGCGTCTTCCCCCCCCCCCCAACGTCGTCCCTGCGGGAAGCGCACCCGAGCAGCTCCAGGAGCTCAGGTGAGAAGTGCCTTCCCGGGCGGTGTTTGCAACGCCACGGCGGGAGGTGAGCGCTCCTCCGCGAGCGGGCGGCTAACAAGTTTGCGGACCGGGAATGATGGGAGTTGAAGTCCAGCGCGTGGGACTTTGGTGGGAAGGCTCCTATATATATAAAATGGTGCATGGAAACTTGTTGGTGTTATGGTCTACCCCCCTCCCCGACTCCAATATTCAAGGAAAGGTGAAATAAAAGATGCAATAAAAGGCAGGATTGTGAACGATGCAAAAACGAATGCTGTGCTAGGGAATGCCCATTGGAAGCTCCCACCGTAGCTCAGTGGAAGAAGATAAGGTTGCATGTAGAATGGGTCAAAGTCCTCCCCAGCCATCTGCAAGTAGGGCTGAGAAAGGCTTTTCTCCAACCTGATGCAACAGTGCCCAACTTTGTAAATGGCTTTGGGTTAGGATACATTGGGAGGGACCCAGTGGCCTTTCCCATCATGTGGCACCTGTAGAAAAATGCTTTAAGGTACTGTGCTTAGTTTTGTTTGGAGAATAGGAATATGTGGACTTATGCCTCAGTATTTGTTTTTAACCATCAGATTAAAAATATTATTACTTAAAAATGTTCAGGTTGCCAAACGAATCAGATTGTACAATAGATGCCAATCAGCTTTTCCTGAAATCTGTTCCATTCTTCCTTAACTTGGCAGCCTCCCTCCGTGTGTTTCAACTTGTTCATCTCATTATCCTTATGCTGTGGAATTGGAAACTTACCCAACAGTTCTGGAGGGCACGAGGGCAGGAGAGCTGCTTTGTACAGCCAACACTGAAGTACATTGCCCAGCGGAGCTCCTTTCCCTTTTGCTTTAGAGCAGGTGTCCCCCAAACCCTCGGCTCGCGGAATGGGCCGCGCAAACGAGTGAAGCCCCATCCGCGCACGCGCGGGATGCAGGCAGCGCGCGAAAAAAGCCCCCCCCCCTCCCCGGTACCGGTCCGCGGAAAAACCGCTCTCCGCGGAAGCGGTTCCTGGCGCCCAAAAGGTTGAAGGCTGCTGCTTTAGAGCCAAAAGTCTTCAGAAAGACTATTCTGACTATTGCAATTTTTATGGTTGTTGTGCGGTGCTCCGGGTTCACAACAGCAAGATTGGGACTGAAGTCTATGCAGGTTAGAACACTCCCAAGTTTAAGAAGATGAAAATCTGGGATTCATTTTTCTATATTCTACAAAGTAGTGCGGAGTAGGGAGAAGCTGAAGTATTTGGATCCTAGATTACTTAGTGGATTTGCTAGTCTCTTATAAATAACGGAAGTTTCTGTTTCCCCCTATTTTCTTCTTATCTAGGACAGTGGTTCTCAACCTGTGGGTCGGGACCCCATTTGGGGTCAAATGACCATTTCACGGGGTCGCCAAACAACGCAGTCCGCCATTTTTTCCCCCTTTTCCTTAGCTGTGCTACTGCTTTTTATTCTATTGGCTTTTGAAAGCCAATAGAATAGACTCTCTTGAATAGAGTCTAACTCTATTGGCTTTCAAAAGCCAATAAGAATTGTCCAGGCTGTCTCTGCCCTGCTGAGCCCGCCAAAAGTCCCATTCTGCAAACGGTGCTGCACCAGTTGAGTAGTCCTCAACTTATAACCGGTTGAGTAGTCCTTGACTTACGACAGGTTGGGGGTCGTGGCATTAAAAAGGTTGAGAACCACTGATCTAGGAGAAAGAGGCAGAGAGTGATCCACACTAAGTCACTCAGTTGTATTATATAGTTTATTTCCTTGGATAGAGATGCCGAAGTTAGACTACTATGTGTTTCTCCTGTTCAGTGTCATGGTATAGGCTGGAGAGTTACAAGCTACTTTATAGTATCTGCTGTGTGTATGGATTTATGAAATGAAAAACCAAGCATCAGCTTGCAAGGAGGGACAATACTGAAAAAAAGATAACGATGAAACAAAACTTTGACTCCTAGGAGTAGCTATGGCAGGTCCATATATCTGGACCAGTGGTTCTTAACCTTTTTGAACGAATCGCCCCCTTGAGCCAATGAGGAAGTTGTCATCGCCCCCCTCCCCCAACATAACCTCTCAATCACAACATGGGAAATAATTCTTCAATTTATGCAGACACTTTTTTTGTTTTCTTTAAAATTGTTCATCAGGACATATCGATGCAAATAATTTATTTCCAGTCTTTTCCCCATATCTCCCATATTCTGGCTAATGGCACGCCACTGTATGGGTAGAGGCTGCTGCACAACACGCATGAAGATAAGCAATGCATATTTACATATGTACGGCATTCTGTACTGAAGCTAGCTGGAGGAACATCTGAAAACACAATTCAATCCACTAATAGCGAGCGATCTGATGTTTTTGTACGACAGATATACAGCCATTCACTGTACAAAAAAGTCTCAAAAGTGCCCCCAAAACTTCTCGCTCCGTCGCCCCCAACCCCTCCCTTTTTGTTCCTTTGCCCCCATGTCGCCCCTTTTCGTTCCATTGCCCCCCTGAAAAATGAAATCGCCCCCTGGGGGGGCAATATCACCCAGGTTAAGAACCACTGATCTGGACAACCAGTGGAGTTAGAGTTCCCAATAGCTCTTTTTATTATTATTATTTAGTAGTCATTTGGCTATTGCAGACCCCAACTGTGGTAAATAGATCCAAATTTATACAGGTAGTCCTTGACTTACGGCCACAATTTAGCCCAAAATTTTCTGTTGCTAAGCAAGATAGTTGTTAAGTGAATTTTGCCCCATTCTACAACCTGTCATGCCACAGTTGTTAAGTGAATAATTGCATTTGTTAAATTAGCAACATGGTTATTAAGTGAATCTGACTTCCCCATTTCTTTTGCTTGTCAGAAAAGTCGCAAAGGATGATCACATGACCCGGGGAAACTGCCACCGTCCTAAATATGAGGCAGTTGTCAAGCATCCAACTTCTGATGTGAGCACGGGGATGCTGTAACAGTCGTAAGTGTGAAAATTGGTCATAGGTCACTTTTTTCAGTGCCAAACAGTTGCCAGACAAATGGTTGTAAGTTGAGGACTATCTGTGCTTCAGTGTTTTTTTTTATTTTTATACATATTTTTACTTATATCCAGCCTTTATTATTTTTATAAACAAGGCAGCAAAGATATCCAATCCTCTTTCCTCCTTCTGTTTTCCCCGAAAGAACAACACTATGAGGTGAGTTGAACTGACAGACCCGCCCAAAGTCAATCAGCTGGCATGGCTTTCATTTTCAATTCTGTTCCTATCTCTTTCCAATTTTAAAAAAAAATTCTTCCAGGTTCTTCCTTTTTTTGTTGTTGTTTATCATGGGTGTTATCAATATAATGCCTTTATAAGTCTTGATAAAAATGTTTTGAACTGATACTACTCAAATCTGAAACATTTGTTTTTAGATGACTTAATAGCTTGCTCAAATGTGTAGTTATAGAAGGCAATTGTGATAATGTTATAATAGCTTGCACTTAGAAGCACATACAGGGTTATTTGGATCACAGTAGGGGAAAAAATCCAGCATCCTAGACATCTGAGTCAATTTATTTCTCCTTTATTTCCTGTTTAAAAAGATTCTAAAGATATAGATGATACACTTTGTAGTTTCATTCTGTACTGAAATAAATTCTCTCTGGATGGATTGATACAATTTCTTTAACTAAGGTTTATGGACTAAACTTTAACTGGCTGGGGTCATAGAAGACCCTGAGCCATAAATCATGATTTGCAAACAACACTTGATTCACATAGTACATTCAGCCAAAACCAAACAAACCACATTATGGCTCATGTGCAAACCAAGCTGTTGTGGTAGTAAATTCTGAGTTATGGCTTTGTAGCCTATGAGAGCCAGACAATTGAGATTTCTTCAACAGAGATATATATGAAACAAACCATGATTTAGTATTTTATATGAACCAGCCACAGCCACAATTTAGCGTCCCAAACCAATGACTATAGAGCAATGGTCGAGATCCCATCCATCAAAGGAATTGCTCATTTGGAAATAATCTTTATTTACATGTTTTTGTATGCTATAATGACACAGTAGAAGCAGTAGACTATTACATCAGAAAATGTAATAAAGCAAAAATAGAATTAAAAAAAACCTTATAAAAGGCAATAGAAACTGAACTTACCAAACCAAAAAAAGCATCTACTCCATTATTCTCTGAAAGCTCCCTGAACATTTCTTCACCAGTTTTCAGAATATTCTCAACTACTGGCCACTGAAGGGAGGGTGTCCCATAGAGCAGATGCAATCATCACAGCCGCATCTTGACATTCAAAGAACACCAAGAATCATTTGCCTATTTTGGACTTTCTATCAAATGTCACACTGAGCCAGATTTTCCCTATCTAGTGTTTGGCAGATGTATCTAGATGCTATCACTGGGCAGTTCTGACGGTCATGGCGCCAGCTATATGTGAAAAGAATAACCGCAGTAATCACAGGTTGTCTACTTAGATTTAAATTGCTATCACCCTCCTTCTGGAGTAACAGGAATTGTGGTTTAATGCATCTGAAACACAAAGGGGATTTTAATCCATATATTAACGTCCAATAAAATCAAACATATTTATTTTATACTTAGTTAGAAAGACACTAACAATAAGTTATAGCATTACAGAGAAAGGTATGAGGCTGCAAAACAACATTCATGCAATTCTAGAAGCAGGAGGCTGGCAACGAAAATAGGGCCAAACCACAAAAGCTTTAATGCTCTGTAATAATTAAAATGAAATGTGCAGAGATACAGCCCCATTTTGGTGCCCTCATTCTGTCTAAAGAGGTTGCAACTGTGGGTAATTAACTGTGTGTACTTACATACAGTTGAGGTACATGCCTACATTGGGAACAAAAATCATTTATACGCTAAAAATGTTTAGAATGGGCCATGTTACTCTTTTGTGCATACAAGATGAACCTTATGCGTGATTTCCTGACTTTGAGACTTTGGTGAGAAGATGGATATTCAATCTGTATATACACACAACCACACAAATATATGTATATAGGTATGCATGAACTAATTAATCCTTTCTTATCAGAACCAATTTTTTTTAATTTGAGAGAACATGCACTGCTTTGTACAATAGAAGAGAGATGAACCACCCTAGCCAGTCTGATACCCTCAAGAATTATGGAGGATTCTGTTCCATTGCCAGAATGAAATTGAGATTCAGTAGCCAATCTGGTTTGGTGCCATCAAATGGCATTGAGGAAAGCGTCTTGCTCTTTGCCTCAAGCAACATTATTATTTACAAATATTTCTCCATACCTATATACATCCATATGAGTCACGTTATTCCCTTTTAAGATAAGCAGTATTATGCAAACGGGAGAAAACATATATTCCAAGGCCAATTGTAAAATAAAACATAATCATAACAACAAACAAACTCAGTACAAAAATAAACACATGCTGAAAGTTACACTAAAATAAATCACATTTACCACTGAAACATCATTTTGAACAGTAAGACTCATTCAGGAAAAAAGCATATAAGTAAAAGAATGGCTCTCTTAAAAATTGGCAGTCTTAAATTCTTTAATTAAAACTAAACTGCAACTGCATTTAGTATTACATAATTAATTCCCAGCAACATGGTATCATAATACTTTGCACTGTGGTGGTTATAGCTGAAGCCTTATGTTCCTGGTCCCATGTTCCAAGGCTTGATGTGTCACTCTTGTACCAATATTCTAGAAATTTGGAAAAGGGGAGGAACAGTAAGGAATACTAACAGTTTATCTTTATACTTTTAAATAATATCATAAACAGAGGAACTTTTAGAGCAAAATAGCAAACCAACACAGAGAAGAAATTGCCAATAGATATTTTGTTTTTATTCTTTCTATCTATCTATCTATCTATCTATCTATCTATCTATCTATCTAT